TAAAGAAAGGAATTTTTAAACCATTTACACATGTGCATATAAAAGCTAAATTTAATCCCTGCCTACACCTTACAAACTAAGGAGAGTGCTATTAAATCTGTACAGAATAAAGTATTCACATGTCCTTGATCGCGTCTGCTGTGTTTGGTCTGTCTAAGTGACAGACTGAGACTGCTGTTGTCTTCTTCTCTGATCAAAACAATGTGTCCACCCCCCCATGCGGATCCTCCATGAATTGCACCCTATTAAAAATATTCATTCCGTGTCTTTTATGCATTTTTTTTTCACTTTTAAATGATCCCGCGGGCCTGATCAAACCTCCTTGGGGGCCGGTTCACGCCCGCGGGCCGTTGTTTTGACACCACTGCTGTAAGCCCTTGTGGGCTGCAACAGATTTATTCAGGGGGTCTATTTTCGTGACCCAAATAAATCATGTGCATTGCGTGGCGTATCACTGTGCAGTGGTGGGTTCGACCCGATGTTAGTAACTTCGAAAATGAGCGTAGGCTGACAGATCTACAAGCGAGAGGGCTGTGCCGCTGTTGAAGTGGTTACAGCTGACTTCAACCAATGTAAATGAAAGCGGCTCCCTTCCTTCAGCCTGCGAGATGGCAGAAGCACATCTGCGCCTTGAAGCAGCCATTGGAGACCGCCCCCTACACTGGATCCTTTGCGTGCACCACACCACCTCCACCCATGGTTGTTCCTTTCCCATTTTTATTTCTTGTTATTTTTTTCCATGTTCCTGACTCCTCAACTTTTGCTTTTTTTTCTAGGACAGGATAAAATGAAAAGGATTATACTCTTCCCTGCTATTAGCTTCTTTCTGCATTATCATTTTCAGGGAGGTTGACATACAATAATGGCTATTTTAAGAAGGTAACAATCATAATGAAACAGGCAAGTGCATCAGAGTTACCAGAAGGTCCACTTGAACTAAGATGAACAGAGGTGCTCACATTTAGACACTAGGGGAAAATGTCATGTTACCCTCACTCCCTGTCAGTCACTCTCCTGTTCCTCAGCGAGCTGCTTTTTGCTATTGCTTTGTAAAACTATAAAACAGGGTTGTAAAATGATGTTCTTAATTGCCCTTAATTTTCAGGGAAAGCTTCTAAAATCAATAATAATCCTTAAAATGTAATTTTTATGAGAAAATAAATTGAAGTTTTATATTTTCTAAATTTAAATTTATCTGAGTGTACTTTATTTGAGAATGAATTCAAGTTTTTCCTGTGTGTGTGTGTGTGTGTGTGTGTGTGTGTGTGTGTGTGTGTGTGTGTGTGTGTGTGTGTGTGTGTGTGTGTGTGTGTGTGTGTGTGTGTGTGTGTGTGGGCGTATAGCAGACAAGAAGAAACGGGTTGAATGAATTTAAACGAATGGGAGGCAGAATGTGAAGGAGTTGCTGTTTGAAAAGTAGCAGTGTATCCTCTGGCAAATGTGGCCAAAAAACAAATTAAAACAACCCTGCTCTCTCCAGTTGTCTGCCTTACAGCAAAGCAATGCTATATAGCAAAAGCACATGTTCACTCTCTCACTGTCATTGGTTTGGGGCCAAAACAAGCAGTGAGCTTTCAGGGGGCTGGACACATTTCAAACACATTCTCGACAATAATCATGGGACACTGTTTTGTTTTGTTGTTTGTGCGTCCATAGGTCCATCTGACCTGGGGCTGTTGTAGTTATTCTTTGTCAAAAAAGAAGACATATTGCAAGATCAGTGAAAATAATGCAAAAATTTTAGGTCTGGAATCAATCACACAAATACCTACAACTGTGTTCACTCTTATAACATGAGTTACAATGCATCCTGATTCCCGTTCATCCTCAATTTGATAGTAGTAAGAAATGCATTAATACATAAGAGGGAGATTTTGTCACACAAAAAAACTCTGCTTTTTGATGATTTCACGAATATATTTAAATACACTGAAACATGAATTTTAAGGAATGTGTGGGTTTTAAAGTAATGTTGGGGGCGGGTATTAACTTGCTCTGCTAGACTTCCACTCTTCAGCCTGTAACAGGACCTATAGATGTTTTACAAAGGTCACAGCAATCCAATCATTTTACATGGGATTTAACTAAGCACCACAAAATATGAAGCCGTCTTTGGGGAGGAAATGTGACAAGATCCCAGGAGCAAGGGACAGAAGTCATTAGGATTAACGCAAATGTGCCCGCAATATAATGAAGGCGCAGAATACTTGTAGCCATGCATTCTTAACATAATTTTATGCAATTCCTCAAGGGTCCACTTAGATGGGAGATACTGTTTCAAATCAGAAATGAGTAAATGTGTATCTGCGCACGTGAAATTTTCAAGGGAAGGGCTACACAAATGCCACATTGCCACTTAAAATGGTCAAATGTCGGAGGTTGATTCCGTCAAAGGTGCAATAAATGTTTATTACAGTCGGACCTCGTTACAACATACCTCGAGGGACATAACGAATCTGTACATTATAACAGTAGTTCATTGAAACCATTTCCAATAAAATGGCTGCCAACTACGATGTATAATACAGTATGAACATTTATAGATGTAAAAACAAGAACATGTAATACAGTATAATCATCCATCCATCCATTTTCCGAACCGCTTAATCCTCACTAGGGTCGCGGGGGGTGCTGGAGCCTATCCCAGCCATCTACGGGCAGTAGGCGGGGGACACCCTGAACCGGTCGCCAGCCAATCGCAGGGCACACAGAGACGAACAACCATGCGCACTCACACTCACACCTAGGGACAATTTAGTGTGTTCAATCAGCCTGCCATGCATGTTTTTAGAACGTGGGAGGAAACAGGAGTACCCGGAGAAAACCCACGCAGGCCCGGGGAGAACATGCAAACTCCCAGTATAATAATGGTAATTACAAATAATTCTATAGATTATGAAGAAAGCATTTAGTCAGGAAATGAAAAGTGCCTTCTCCAGTTCAGCATGTGCCGCGCCTGGAGGCCATTTACAATCAACTTTCATTCAATCTGTTGACCTTGAACTCTGCCATGATTTTGTTGCCGTTACAGATGATTGTCGAAATCGTCGACTTTGCCAATTCGTAATCTCGGCTGAGCTTCGTCTGGGAGACTCCCTTTCGGAAGTGAGAGACAATTTCAGCCTTGACAGACAGCGAGATTTATTTTCTATGTTTTCAGACCATGTGCTCAAGACTGCGCTGTGCTTCTGGAAGTACAACACTCTACCGAGTCGATCAGTAGCATTGCTTTGCAAGCCTATAATGGTGACTCTGCTGATGCTGCAGTGAGGAATGTAGGGGTGGGGGCTATATTGAGCAGTCGGATGGTTAAGAGGCGGTAGGCTTGGTGCCAGTGGGGTGCTATTCTCCAGCGATTAGTGCCAGTGGAAGGAGAAGAGGGTGGGAAATGTGAGTTTAAAAGCAAGGCAGTGTAAAAATATGAGAGAAGAGGCAGAGAAGGTACAAGCTGTCTGATTGGACGTTAAGGAAAAAAAATCAGGAAGTAAGGAGATCTCTGCGGCTGACTTTGAAGAATAGGTGGATGTCCGAGATCCGAGCATATCACAGCAGCTCTGTGAATACAGTTCTACAATGTCATTTGAGGAACACTGCTGACCTGATCAGCATTGTACTTGAGACGAAGAGGTTTTCAAACTTTGTACACAAGTGTTGTGTGTGCTTGTGTAGTTCTATTTCTGTGGGAGCATGCATGGACCATGCAAACCTCTGTGGGATGACAGACGCATCATCTCAATTCCGTACACAAGTGACCAATGAATGAGTTCTTGTCAAGAGAGCTAAAAGCAGATCAGTTTCTAATTTCCCTCTCCTCAGTCACCTTCCGTGCTGATACATTTAATGTGTTATCCAGCTGCTGTCTGGATCTGATTTCTGAGCTGATGTCTTCGGTTTGGATATGAAAAACGGGATAACAGCCTTTAGGAAAGTTATTTAAGTAAGGTCAGATGTTAAACTTGATTTCATTTTCACTTTAGCAGTCGGGTCATGCACTGAGTGCAAATGTCTGTTTCAAGTCATGCCGAAATGGCATCCAATTGTTGATGCCATTTTGGTATGGCTTGAAACAGACATGAAACAACAATTGTATTGAATGCATCTGTCTCTGAACTGTTAAAAAAATACAATAATTAATTTGTGAAGCTCATGAATCTTGCCAATGATATTTTCAGTCAGTCCCTCCATTTGTATGCTAACCAAGGAATTCTATCAGTTCCTATCTGACGGTGTGAGATATCATCCATCCAGTCTCACAATGATTGCGTATTTCTCACCACTTCATGTGTGACTTTTATCAGACATACACAGATGGGACATCCCACCCTGCAACTGTGCCTTTGCTTGATGGAAATGTGACAAATGATTTCCTCAGCCCATCATGTTCACTCAAAAATGGTCCTTGGAAAAAGAGTGAAGCTTTCACTAAGTGTGATATCGGAAGTTAAGTTATTGAAAGTGTCGCCAATCGGGGACAATTTACCCGCTGGTTTCTGAGGTGGCATCAGAAGTGTGACAGAGGGGAGCTGAGGCTGTGTGTTGGGGTTTCTGCACACACACCTTTATTGAACATGCACACAGCACAGCAATGTCCCACTTCAGAAAGCTACGGCTGACTGGACACAGGTGTGAGAGAAGCTCCAGTGTTTGGGGTGGCATCAGAATTTGAATTAACCTGTGCAGTTGTTGTACTTTGTAAGGCATTCATTGAACTACTTGCGGATTATAAATTTAACCCCAGACTTGTCAAAAATTGTAGAATCATACATCGGACACAACTAAAGGTGCTCAAGTGTAGATAACCACAATGTGGCCCACCAGGTATCTTCAACTTCCTCAAATTGTTTGTGAATTTGTATATGGATATGGCAGCACGTTCCAATATTCAGGTCTGCTTACACAATTAAAATGTTAACATTTTGTTATTCTTGAAAACATTTGGCTTCTAACATACATTTCACAGTGTATGTGTTTAACGTCCACTATGTCCTTTTTTACGTCAGATGTCATGGCGCCTGTCCTACCGAAGCTCCAAGTTTCGAAATGTCTATGGGAAGGTAGGCAGCCGGGAGCACTGCTACGATGGAATCCCCATTACCAAGAACGTCCACGACAACCACTTCTGTGCTGTCAACACCAAGTTCCTGGCTGTGGTCACTGAGAGTGCTGGTGGGGGCTCATTCATCATCATTCCTATTTCCCAGGTAACACTCGTTGTTCAAGTCGGATGCCACATGTGAAATGCATTATCATGGAATCTTTTTCTGTACTGACTCCAGCTGGGCATTACAAAAATGCAGAAGAAACATGCATTCTCATTTTGAAATGAAAAAAAAATGATATATACCGTATATATATATATATATATATATATATATATGTATGTATGTGTGTGTGTGTGTGTGTGTGTGTGTGTGTGTATTTGTTTGTACAGGGTGTC